CTTACAATAACCCCAAAACAACGTTGTTCAATCTAAAATCCTCAATGTGCCTGCTTTCCTTCAGTGCTTTGCGGCGGGACCCTGAACGCCACGACGGCCGTGCAGACGCTGACCTCGCCTTACTACCCCAACGCCTATCCTCCGTTCACTTCCTGCCGCTGGATCCTGGATGCTCCCGCCCAGGAAAGCGTCAAGCTGTCGGTCCAAACCTTCGTCCTGCAGCCCAGCCAGAGCTGCTCCACTAACAACCTGGAGATGAAGGACTGGCCTGTGGTGAGTCTCATGTTGGCCCTAAATTGCGGTTGGGGGGAAAGTGCATTTATTAAGGCATCAGGTGCAACAGAAGTCCAAAGAACTGAGTGAGAATAATCAAATGCACCAATTAAACGTTTGTGTTGTTTAATGTAATGTCCATTCTGACTGTGCGTGACTTTCTTTTCCAGGGAGACTATGGACAGTCTCATAAGTTCTGTGCAGCAGATGCTCATCCACCCGACTTCTACAGCTACGGCAGGACAGTCCTCGTGCAATTCAAATCCGACGCCTTCGTGGCAAGAAATGGCGTGAGCTTCACCTACCAGATCGCCGGTAGGTTCCTGTAGTAGACCTGTGGCAAGAAAAGGTTTTACATCTTGCTCAAGTAAATATAGCTTATTTTTTTTAGATTTTTTATCTAGGGGAACTGTGACTCATAGAAACTGTCTGTCAATGGAGAGCATATTCACATCTTCTTATAAATCAGCAACACTTACCTGACATAGGAAATTACTTTTTAGTAAATATTGATGTCAGTACTACATATTTTTGAAGGGCTGGGATACCTAAACTACAGAAAAAAACGGATACTTTTGGTTAAATGTTCCAGGTTTTGACATATCTGGCTTTTGCCTCTACGCCAATAATATGCATTTAAATATAATTTATTGTGTGCTGTCCAAAGCACAACACATCTCTTTCCAAAAGAGTCCAAAATGTCTTTGGATAAGCCACAATGTTACAGTTTTCATGACTCCTTTCTTTGAAGATATATATATATAGAAGTGCACAACAGCTTTTGAAAGAGTATGATGGGTACTTGGTTTCAGTGCTCTGACTGTGTTGGTGGTGATTTTCAGGCTGTAGCCGAACTTATGAACAGCCGTACGGCTACCTGAAGAGTCCGGGCTGGCCTAACGTCTACCCACACAACGTGGACTGCACCATCATCCTGAAGGCGCCACAGAACAGCTCTATCTCCTTCTTCTTCAACAATTTAGACCTGGAGAGCCACAGCCAATGTCAATTTGACTCCTTGGAGGTAAAACATTTACCGACATATTTATGTAAAATATCTATATTCCCCATATCATCTCATTGTATACAAATGTGCAACAAAATCACAAATATGTTATATCCTGTCTATGTGCCAGTGAGTCACAACAATCTGTTTTCTCACAGATCCGAAATGGCAGTACAGCAGAGTCTCCTCTGATTGGTCGGTTCTGTGGCAACACTTTGCCCAATCCCGTCTTCCCAAAATCCAACGAGCTCTACTTGCGCTTCAAGAGTGATTTTTCCATGGCCCTTAATGGCTTCGAGGCCACATGGACATCCTCTCCTAACGGTCAGAACTAAACCTTTTTTACAAATGACTTCAAACCACATTGGATGGAATATGATGCCATGATAAATAAAACTGCCTTGGAGTGGTATAAATGGGTCTTCATGTTTGCTCACCCTGTTTTCTCCTAGCTGAAGCATCTTTGTGTTTGTGTACCAGGTTGTGGTGGCACTCTATACGGAGACCATGGCTCATTTGCAAGCCCCAACTTCCCAGGCACCTATCCCAACAGCACCCACTGTGAATGGGACATCGTGGCCCCCAGAGGCCGGGTGGTGACGGTCACCTTCGCCCAGATCAGCATCGATGACCCCGGAGACTGCCAGAACAACTTCTTGAAGCTGTATGACGGTCCCGACGACTCCTCAGCACCTGTCGGGCCGTACTGTGGATCGGTATGTAACCCGAGGGAGCTTTCAGAGGAACAAAAAGTGTTGAACTTTAGATTTGACTTCTTTCTCTTGTGTTGTTTGTTTAGGAAACCAACATCGCTCCATTCACAGCCTACTCTCATCACGTCTACATTGTTTTCCAAGCCCAGTACGCCACGCTGCCGTCAGGATTCAGACTCACCTGGAGCAGCTAAAAGAGCACCGACACCATTTCATAATCATGTTTGTAAGGTAATCAACTGTTGTACATTTATTTTTTTAACTGATCAATGTAAAACTAATAAAACTATATTGACATAACAAATACATGATGCGTCATTTCTGATGTTCAGCTTAGTTTTTATTCATTTTAACCCTACTGACCTGCTGGTGAGACAGACTTTACAAAACCTTGTTCAAGCCTAGGTTGATAGAAATTCTAAGAGAGTTCACTTTAACACCTTATTTGATGGAGGAATGATACTGTATCAGGGTCTACTGACTTGACTCTTTTCACAGTGTATTAAAATGATTCAGGCCCAATTACTCTACTAGGAAAGTTCACAATTTCCGTCTTGACTATTCCGATTGAGGGTCATTTTGCCTTCTGAGTGGAGATTGAAAGCTGGTGTCAAATACCATGAAAGCCAATAGAGGGCACTGTTTGTCTTTGAGTGCGTTTGTCAGTGTGTGTATCAAACTGTAGACAGTATGTGTGTGTCTTCACATTATAGATACACATATAGCAGTCAGCCATACACAAGACATTTAAATAATGACTGCAAAATTGTGTTTGTTATTCATAGAGAGCAATGATATTTATGTTAGCTGAAGGGCCTGTATTACATTTTTTTTTTTTTAATATATTAATTTTAAGATGCATCAAAACTCTGTGTCTATTCAAATACTTTAAGCTTTGAGATGCATTAACACTTTCATACGATCTATTGTTTGTTTCTGTTAAAACTCATAATGGCCTCAGTATGATTTAAAAAAAACTGTTGAAATGTAATGAACTGAGTCTCACAGCTATTCAACCAGCATGCGTCATGCGGCGGTGAATGTGTTCGCCTCACATGAATACCTGTGTGTGTAATTAAGTGGATGTTAGACAGCAGGAGGGCTGTGGGATGCAAAGAGGGCTCTTATGTGCCCATGTGGGCGGATGAAGGGATTGATATTTTGGTATATTACGCGGAAACTTGGCTTGGGAACCAGAGGGGTTTTGGTTCAAGGTCCAAATCCAAGAGTGTGTGCTGGTACTCTGAGAGGTGCCAGTTTATCCAGGCACTGTCGAGGTGACCTTAAGCAAGGCACCAGACCCCCACTCTGTTTGTGAAGTTGTATGCTCCTAATACTACAGTTAAACGCAGAAGCTACTTTTCTCTGTATGTGTGTTACACATGTACTGTAAGTCAATTGTGTGGGCATGTGGAAATAACAATGACAATGTGAAGTATTATTGATTATTGAATCAAAATCAGCCTTATTTTTCTTTAATCATGAAGTGTGTGTGGTGCCAGCAGCAGCTTGTTACTCAGCTGTGTGTTCAGATGCCCTGTCGCTATGTGCTGCTGGAGAACAGTTCATCCATCTGTCACTCATTTATCCATCCATCCTTCTTTGTCCATCTCTCCATCCATCTGTTCTTCAGCGTTTCCCATCAACCATGCTTTTGGCCAAACAGACCTTTTGGATTTTTCCAGAATAAGGCAAAAAGGTCCTTCACAAGTCCATGCAGGAAGTGTGAGTCATTACACTACTAACATATCGCCATAATGTCCATTTTGATGGTCTGGAAGCTGACCTGTTGTGCTGTTTCACTGACATGAGTCTAACTCTGGGGACCATGAATGTCTGTCAAAAACTACAGTATAGCCTACTACTCCAAATTCAAATGTAAACTATACTCAAGTTGAAATATAACCAACCTGCACCTCCACCACTTTTTTCTCTGGTGTAGTCATTCCTGAAATGAACTTCTAAAATGCAAACATAAGTAACACAGCCTTATCTTGAAGCTCTGAGCTGCAGGACACATGTGTTCGCAGCACTGAATGCATGACACTGAAGCTATTTCCGTCAGCTGATGCTAACTGGCTAGCTATGTGACTTCAGTCAATGGCACGAGGCTCTGGAAGCTAGAAGCCAAATACGACAAAGAGGCGAGACATGCTGTAGCTAATAACTGGGACAGGACCGCATCAACATCAATCAAACATTCTCCATGTGCACACAGGAAGACATGATGTTCTTGAACACATCACACTCAAAATACAGAGTGTAATTCCTGTTCAGCTCTGGGTTTGTGGAACATCACTGTATGTGCTTTCTGCAGGTCAGGCAATGTCAGTCTTTCAGGATTATTTATTGATATTACCAGAATGTATTGTCCCAAATCCACACTGTTTAAAATGGTTTAGGATTTTGAAATTATCACAATTTTGCGAAAACGTATTTGACATTTATGCACAACTTTTGCAAGCTCTAGAACTAGTAAATCGACCATGAGTTTAGTTTTTGTCAAATGCCTAGAATAAACTGTCAATTTGTGAGTCAACATAAGAAGACTTAGAAGTGCCAAAAGATAGACATTTTAATGTATCATTTCAGGGCAACAACACATGCTTCATGTAGAATTTGATAGTTAAAAGCTTCAGAAGCAAATACGAGGACTTTTTTGTGGATTTTTTTCTGTGAATTATCAGATTATCTGTTCTCACAATAGAAAGAATCATTGTTTTTTCATCTCTTTCTATATCCGTATGTCTATAAAATGGCTAAATAGTCATATTAGCAGGCCTTAAAACAAAACATTTGAACTGGTGCTGACATTTCAACTATTGTGTATTTGTTTTTCAAAGAATAATCATCTATTTGTGCGTATCTGTTATGTTTCTGCTTTGTTGTGGTTCAGTAGCGCACATAATTCCTCTCCAGGACAGAATGTGAGTGGGTGGGAGCTGAGGATGTGTTATGAAGGCCTCTTCAGAGAGAAGGCAGCCTTACATTATGCCCACTGACTCCAGCGCAGATGCTCCATACATTTCCATTCATTAGCGACACGGTGGAGAATGTGGCAAGGTCATGTGGCAGGAGAGCTGCGTTTGGTGGGTGAAGTCATCTCTTCCTGTTTTTGTCTACTTTTCTGGGGGTTTAAAATATGTCTGTATTGCTACGTTCATTTTTATCATGAGACCAGATTAGATTTTCTCAGCTGAAAAGCAAAGTTTGTGGCAGAGTTTAGTTAGTTTTGCTTTGGACAACAGTGGTCTGGCTAAACTCAATTGAAATGTATTTATTTATTATAGGTTGCAGTTGCTACTGAATGTGCTTATGTTCTATGAGTTGAAGTCCCAGCTGCAACTCTCATACATGTAACCTTTTTGTGACCAGTTAACTGGTATTGCAGGCTGGAACATGTTTAGCCTAGCTTAGCTTAGTTTAGCTCAACAAAGTGTGGCTGTGAAAAACAAGACATACAGCAAAGGACACACGTTTTTTAGCACTAATTAAAATCATGAACTATCATATAGAAATTACGATTCTTATTTGTAATATAGTTCTATTTATAATGTACAGTAGTCAAAAATACATATTCTATAGGCAAAACAAATGTATTGTGCAGTGAGTGAGGTCATTGAGAGGTAGATCATAAATCATTGTGACACGATAACAATACAGCAATACAGCCAATATGTTTAGTCAAACAGTGATTGAAGTTCTTACACTTTTTTTTGTGTCCATATAGCTATAGAATAGACAATATAATAATGTATTTTTATTTGTATGTATCGAGTATTCTCTGCATTCAATGTCATTCATTAGCTGTAGCCCTCTCTGCTTTTGTCCTTGCTGAAAATTATGCCTCAGTTTGAGCTGCCCAACTTTTGTGTTTATGGCTCTATCTTTAGACCGGAGCAGCTAAGACACTTTTCATTTTTCAGTGGTTGCTATGGAAACGGGGCTGCCAGCCTAGCGGCATTGGAGTAGTTCTGGCGTATCAATGATGAGAACAAGATGATGATGATTAAATGATAAAAATGGCTGTGCTTTGAATGATTTCATTTGGTGAAGCAGGGTTACTTTGCTCTTTGCATCGTTGGTGCCCTGTATGTTGTAGTTGATCATGTTCACAAGAATGTCATTTTAAGCAAACCGATTTCAATCCCAATGTTTTAGCCAACATATGAGAAGCCTTGACTATAAACATTTCAAACGATAGCGAAATGATGAAACGATTTTGAACCCTTTTTAAGCAGTACAGAGAAGCAGGACATAAATAAGCAATACTGTAGTTATTCACATTGTGCATAGATAAGCCATGCAGACCTACTGTAGGAGGAATGGTGGTAGGGGGATACTGGAGTTATAAGCATAAGGAATGTCATCAAATGTGGGACCAATGTCTGCTTGGACTCATACAGTATATGAACTGAATAAATTGTGGTCATTCTGTGACTGGAAGCAGTTTTATTCTACATTGACAATGTAGAATAAAACTGCTTCCAGTCACAGAATGGCGTCGTAGGACATTTTCCTCAGAAAGCTTACCGTATGACTGCAAGCCACATGATCATATTTCTCTTTTGGACACAATATATCTGGACATATCTGCAGATTGTCAGGGATGGATCAGGCATGAAGTATCCCAGCTGTGTTGGAAGAGAGGACATAATGTGATGTTGATGAGAACTTCTGGACATATATGCAGATGACTAACATTGTTGTATTTCTGTATCTGTGGCCATGCAAAATTCAAGTGTGTATGGTGAATATTTGTAGTTTAGTATGAGGCTATTTTCAATGAGTTAAACCTGATAGTTCACCGAAATAATTTCGTTTGATTTTAAGTAATATTTCAGTTAAATACAGTGATTCTGCTCCTAGTAAAGTACTGCCTGTGAAGCAGATCTATGGGATGCTTTCCTCCTCTCTGGTCTCTCTGCAAACCCTGTACAAATTTGGAGTGGGCTATGTTGCCATGGTAACAGCAACCTCTGCAATTAAAGCTTTAGTTAGAGCAGTATTTCAAAAATGAACTCAAGAACAAACCACTATTTTCAAACATAGTACGACGTATCCGATTGACACATTGTTCCTGTACATACAGTATGTATCTCTGACAGCCTAATGGCTCTCAGTGAGTCCCTAACATTGTACAGCAGCCACATATTAGGATTTATTGTTGGCCCATGATACCTGGACTTGAGTCACAAAGGGAATGATAATAGATGTAAGCCCTCGGCACTTCACTGATCACACACTGTGAAGCTAAATGTGGAGGGGTGGTGCACTAATTGTTTGTCAGCGCTGATGTCTGTGCACGTCCATCATGGGCAAGGACAGCTGGAAGCACACACAGATTTGCTTTGTGCTGCAAATCAAACTGTTGTCATATACACTTTTTTAGAAACCAAACTTTACTTTGATAGTCTACCATCATATCATGGAGCCATGAACACAGTGATTGAAACCCTCCCATGTACTGTAATAATTACTGTAAGAGAGCTAGACATGGCTCAGCCTGTCAATCAAGCGGCCAATTAGCTCCAGTAGGCAACTGTGAAGTTGAGACAAGAATATCCCCTGTGGTACAAAAATAATTACCCATAGAGAGATGTCAGGACAGCTTGATCTGCAAACTTTTTGAAACCATGAAAGTTTTTTAACACATCCTTAATAAGTGTCCGAAAACAATCCTAATTTATTACACTAGATTTACTGCGTGCCAATTTATCTGACCGTCAAAGACCTTCAAAAAAGTACAATTCTTAATATTGTACTTTAATAAGTGTCTGTGGGTGCTTTAGTTTAGTTTTCTTGAAAGAGTACTATACTCCAGTATTTGAAAAAAATACTATATGTACATTTTATTTAGCTTTGTCCTAAAATGCCTAATTGTTACTCCCTTGGTAATGTATATGTAATGTATGCTAAGCAGTGGAAGACTAACTATGTATGTTTATTTACTCATAATCTCCACTTTAATTTATATTATTTGCCATTTTTTACTGTACTTTTTTGAGTATTTATATTTTGTTTAAATAATATATATAAATATCCATTGTCCAAATGTGATGTACTAGTTCTTCATTTTTCTTCTCCCCTACAGTACAACTCAATAGGAAATATTGTACTTTTGACAGGTGTGTGTGTGTGTGTGTGTGTGTGTGTGTGTGTGTGTGTGTGTGTGTGTGTGTGTGTGTGTGTGTGTGTGTGTGTGTGTGTGTGTGTGTGTGTGTGTGTGTGTGTGTGTGTGTGTGTGTGTGTGTGTGTGTGTGTGTGTGTGTGTGTGTGTGTGTGTGTGTGTGTGTGTGTGTGTGTGTGCGCACATACAGTATGTGTACATATGTGTGGAGCAATTGTGTTGGCAGAGGTATTTCAGGCGCATGGTTGGGAGTGACAGACTCACAGGGAGCAGATAAAGAGAGAGAGAGGAGAAGAGAGGGGGAGAGTCTTCTCAGCTGGTCTGATTCTCTCTCAGCCTACACACACATCCTGGGCTCAGTAATGTTGAACACGCTGCGAGAGTGAGCTCAACCTTCCTCACACACTCTGCCATCACCTGCCCGAGGACACAGCACCACACACACCCGGTGAGTACACCTCTGATCCTGTTTGCATGTGCCTCTGTAACACTAATGTAGAGCATCTATTTGAAGCTGAGGGCTCTTGTCAGATCAGAGATATCACTTTGTACGGCGATAACCACTGTATGTCCACTTCTCAACGTTCATACTCTCTACCGTAAGTCTATTATCCTGAGGTAACTTGTTTCAGGAGCTAAAATGAGCCACAGGGTCTTTTGATACTATAATCTTTTTAAATCCTCTAAGCTGCCGGTTGCTTGGAGCCTCCCAGCAGGGGTCTGGCTTTAAATAACAGGACTTTTGCTTGCAGGTGAAAACACACACACACACACAAACAATTGAATGGATTGAGGACCCTGAAAATCCGTTCATGACATCTACTAGTCATGTTTTAAAGCTCCTCAGGAATCCTATTTGCATTTTGTGAGCATGCTAGGTGTTTTTGTAACTAACCCATGCACACAGGCACACATTCATGCACTCCCACTTACATGCTGTTGTTCTGGGCTGCCTGCAGAAAAACCAGTCACCCCGTGCCCTCCTTCCCACTCATGCCAGTCACTTCAACATGTGCAGCTCAAGGAGGGATGCTAATGACGAAGAGTGCTCGTTTTCACACCTCTGTCAGGAATCGAACGATACAGATCGTTTGATGTATTATTTAATACACCAAGCGATTCCTTCTTGCTTCAGAGACTTGAAGGCATAATCCAGTATTACCTTGTCTTGCATATATCTTTCTGTGAGTAAGATGTTCAGATGTTAAGATATCGATGTACTGTACAGAGCTGAAATCAGGACCTGGTTAGCCTAGTTTAGCATAAAGACTCAAATCATATAGGGAAACAGCTAGCCTAAAGTCAATGAAAGTCAATCTGAATGTAATCAAATATCACGTTGATAAATTAGTATTATCCCGTAGACTAGTGAAGGTATTTGCTGTTAACCTGTTTGCGGTTAATCCATCAGAGATCAGATTAAGGAACTAGGAGCAAGGATTAGAAGTCAGGAAGACCTTAGCAGTCGGGCTAGACATACAGGAGGCAGCAGGTCATGTCATTGGGACTGGAGTATGAGCTGGATCATTGACAAACAGAGCATTTAGACATCAATACAAGACATCTGAACAAATGCATTCTCTGCCTTTCTCCAAACTACACAGTCCATCCTTCAAACTAACCACAGGTACCCAAACACAAGGTAGAAAGAGACAGTCTGTGTAGTTACCTCTGTATGGAGGGTTATTATTGTGTCTTTGTGTAGGATGTTTTTGATTGTTTTGTTAACCATAGGCAAAAGCTGTTGGAGATGGTAGTTTTTGGTTTAGGTTCCAATCAGGCTGGGCCAATACTTTTATTGTCAGGTTCAAGAGGATGTCACAACTGTTGCACGAGGTGTTGCTGTGACAATCATATAAAACCCAGTCTTCATTGAGATGGTACTATCCTCTTTGGAAAAGAACCAAATGCAAGTAGAACCGAACTTTACCACCCAGTGGGAGTAGGGCGAACATTGAATTGGTGTTACATCGATTTGCTTTACTTTTGAGTGGGTGAGCTGAATCCAAACCAATGAAACACAACAACGCAGGCAACCCTAAACCAAACACACCCAGTAGTAGATTTAGCTCTTCCAGATGACATCACGTTCTCAAGTTCCTGAGACATTCACAGCATGCAATGAAGTCACTGTAACCAAGTGATTCATCACAACACCGTAGGAGGAGAGACTGTCCTAAAGTATGTCCCCCTAATATTAGAATTCATCAAGTTGAGACTACAAAACCATGAAAAGTTATTAGAGAGAAATGACTTGTTCGACAATCTGCTATTCCTCACATTGTTTTCATTCCGAATGGATTCATCTCCTAGCCCTGCCTCCTAATGTAGCTCACAGTCTGCATGCTGAATCACTGTCGCCCCCACCACACAAACCATTACCTATGTGTTTGAATGTAATGAGTAAGGGGGGGAAGTGAAAGTCTACAAGCCAAGACTCTTTGGAAACTTCCCAAACAGTTTGAGCTGCCAGTGACTGTGCTGTCCTTTTGGCTAACTAGACACTTCATTAACTATCTGCGCTGTTATGGCCCCCACACACTGGTGCTGGCTTTGGCTTTGTCCATCATTAGCATGTGCCCAAAGCAATTATAATTGTCTCTTTCCCCCCTCCTGCTTGATGGGCATGGCTTCAGTCTAAGTGAGCTTCCTACTTTTTCTGGCATAAGATCAAAACTTTTGGCAGTTGGCTTTGACAGTGAACACACCTCCAAACACACCCAGATTACGTGTTAATCCGGTGTTGGACTGCAGTTAACACCCGATATCATACATTATACTCCAGGTGGGCCTTTCTGACCACTTGATTATCCACTACGTATGACAGGTGTTTTTTTATTCCCATCATCAGCTCTTTTTCAGGACCAATGTGTCACCTGCTGCGACACTCTCTGATGCTCACGGTGTCAAGTTGTTCCAGCTGTGAGCCAGGCAGCGTCTCTATTTCCAGCAGAGTGTCAACAGGTGGACAGGCTAACCAGCAGCATGACCTTCAGGAGTCTCTCCTCCTTCCTCCCTCCCTCTGTCAATCAAATCTCTACCTATTATTTCATCCTGGAAGTGGGGTTTCCCAACATATGTGCTACTATTTTATTACCTCACTGCGTTAGCCTGGAACTTCCATACAAAAACATGTCACGCCGTAGCTACCAGGCTAATTCATATTTAATAGACGTTCCTGTTCGAGTCTCTTTAGGTGTTGATGATACAGAGATCATATCACACCATTCTTATCCTTAAAAATGCAATAAACAATGAAAGAAACACAAGCTAACTCAGTACTTAATAGATAAATTGCTATAATATACTAAATATTATAGCAATTGTTGTGATTCTATACCCTGAGGCATGCTACTTTACCCATGGGAACACTTCATCAGGTAAACAATCACATTCAAAATCACCACATTTGATCAAAATACATGTTTGTTTATGAACAGGGAGGGTATGAAAATGCTTCTGAATTCTGTGTGGTTCATAGATTGGATGGTTTGATAGGAAAGTTCTCTGTAACATAGATGTTGACATTTGATGGAGTTTCTGGAATAATCTCAGCATTCCTGCAGCTCCCACTCCCCCTCCCACTCTCTGTTCCTTTGTGCGGCTGAAAGCAATTACAAGTCAGAATAATTATTATACTTTCCATCAGCGAGACTGTGCCAATTTAGCTGTTAGTTTCTTATCAAATTGTAGACGTTTGGACACTTTGCATGTGGGAAATGTGGCTGCAATAATGAGACCCACTATTCAAAGTTGTGATAATTGTTATTCTGAAACAAAAAAATACTTCATCCTATGACAGTCAGTGGTTCGCTTTTGGGAAGTGTTTTTATTCCGGCCTTTTTTGGGGGGAAATTATTTGCCATTTTGTGTTTTCATTTCAAAATGTGATGCTTTCTTTCTTTCGGCACTGCATATACATACTATAAATAGCCTCTTTGCAGTAAATGAGCGTGTAAGAAGCTTACATTTTCCGATGCAGAACAGGAATCAGAAACAGCTCAGGCATACCAGTGGTTGTTTGAAGCAGTATTAATTACATAATTCCTTCCTATACTTTCTATCTACAAGCTGACAGATATCCACTGTCTTCCCTGTGACATGATCGCTGTGCCTGGGCCATGTGTGGGTGAAAGGCTGACTCTCGTTGGTATGTGTGTGGGTGTGTGAGGGGGCTGAGCATGAGATGTATAAAAATATAAGCGCCTCCTTGCATACGTTATTGTATTTAGAACACACTCGTACTGACATGACTTGTGTTCATGTGATACCCCTTCTCAGCTAACAACAGTACGACCTGTCAAGGACATTTGCCCTGCCTGCATGTGTTCACTTATCTTCTTTACCCCTAAGCACTATGTTAACAGAACATTTGAACAAGTTAAATAATGTTTTAAGCTTTTGAATTAGCCAAAATGCATCGTTGGGTTTTTGGATAGGGAATTTTTCTAGGTACATGGATAAAGATGGCATTTTTGCCCCTAGTACAATCTGATCCAGGCTCTGTGTTTTACCAAAGATTGAACGAGTGGATTTTGGAGGAGTATGGTGCGTAAACTAAAACTAATTTGACTTCCGGTGAGTTTACCAGGCTCTGAAATCTGATGTGTCATGGTTGGCTCGCTACAGTATGAGCTCTGGTGTAGAAAAATCAAAACCATCAAAGAAAAAAACAAACCTGGATTCAGCTGCTTGTATTAAAACCTCAACATTACATTTAATAACTTCAATAGTGGATTGTAGAAGAATGACAAATGCACTGTGCACATTCCAACCACCTTTACTAATTCTCTTTTCCACCAACGCTTCATACTTTATGAATAACTTGACAAGGAGATGTTGAAAATACCACACATACTGTAGCACCACGTGTCAGTTGTCCAGTAGTGAACATGCAGAGGATGCCATTTCCCCGGCTCAGGTGCTACTAGCAGTGTGAACACCAGCACAACATAAATAAATATGTAGCTTATTAAATGCTAAGGATCATGTTACCGCCCACTCTATGTATTGCCAGCAACTTGCCATTTCCCTTCATGTCAGCTGATATGTGGAGCTAAATCTCCTATAAAGTGACAACCGTTTAAAGCAGAATATGTTAAAGGGGATTTATGTGTGCTGGATCTGAGGGAAGACGACATAAATACACAGGATGATATTTGTTGAATTAGATTACTGTAGTTTATATATCCAGATCAAGAAGCCTGTCGTTGTTTCTGTAGGTATTTGTACGTCTTTTGACTTTCCCGTAGCCTCAGTTTGGACTTTGTTGTGATAAGATCAGAGTATACAGGTTCTTATCATAGCATTCTTCATGGGGAAAGACCTGAACGTGCTAAAGTTAAAGTGTGTGTGCTGATGTGTTAATGGCACAGGGAAGAGTCAGCCCTCCATGGAAACATCGAATCACATGTTAATAAACAAGTTCACATGAAGCAACTGATGGTGACGCTTGGGAAATCAGAATGTTATTAACATATCTGACCTGCAAGATTACCTTCTAAGAAAACACAGTAGACCTCAGCAATTAAGTTGCGTGGAAATTGCAGAGCACCCATCAAACCAGTTGTCTTGCATAGAAGCAATATCATACCATTATCCTAAAAACATCTGTTAAATATGGGGCAAAATAAGGGTCAAAAATATAATTTCTAAATGGAGATGCAATGTTTATCCCAAACAACTAAGGGACGGTTGAGGTTATTGATAGATTACACTGAGATAAGGGTTAGGGTTATATTGTGGTTACATGTAAAGATGCAACTCAAGCATACCACGTACTGTAAAAGGCAAACTACATGCTACTTTTTGGTAACACTTCAAAAAGGACTCGATGCTTCCTGCGTCAATACTCGACCATTATACGTGTGGGAGAACAAACTTTCCTTTGCCTCTATTGTGTGTCCTGCTGAGTCCTCCTTGAGATGTGAACCTGCTGCTCTCTTGCTCTCCTCTTTTCTCAGGAGCATCTTAACCTCCAGTGATCATTCTGTCCTCCTCTGATGGACTGTTATAACACAGAACACAGAACACCCACACACTCATGTTACATTCCCTGCACTCATTGTGCCGTTCCTCAGGGCCGGATTAATCGCCGTCCGACATGTGACACAGACCTGAGACTTTCTGTGGCTCCCGCTGTCAAGCCTGACATTCGCAAATCCCTTAAATCACAGGAGTGTGTTATAATGTACTGCAGTAGATCATTGGTGGCAGGCACAGACACTGTTTCACATTGAATGCAGAGCTTTACAGTGTTGTGGTTGGACATATACATCCAGTCACATTATATTTATTTTAACTAGCCTATGTATGAGCATTCAATGTCTTTAAACATACTCACAAAACTGATGCTGAAGCTTTGAGCCTCGTTGATATAATACTTGGATCACTCACTGTCGTGTAAATTGTGTTTCCTTTAGGCCATCATGGAGGAGGCTGGTCTGCTGAAGGAGAGGCTCCAGGCCATCACGGTAAGGCTTTGTGCTTCTAGTAGTAACAGGAGAAAGTGAAATAATCTATATGTGAAATTGTCACACTCCCTGTCCCTTCTTCAGCCACATCTCCACTTCCTTGAAACCATGCCATTCGCATTTTCCTCGTACGCTTGTGTTAACCACAGACCTTATTTTAGGCATCTGAGCAAAAACTCAAAATACATTGACTTTGAGACGAGGGAACCTAGAAGTGCTAATATGCTTGCTCACTTACAGGTATAGGACTCGCTCATAGTTTCTTAGTACCTTGCCTGTTGGACCTAATGCCATTGGGGGCTCTGATACCAGATCGCACATTTGCATATCTAATCTTGACAGTTTGCAAACATGGACCCAGTGGACACATTCACGCCGTGTATTTCCTCGCTGTGATAACACCTCCAATATTAAGCACAAAGAGGCAGCTCTGTGGCACTCTGGGAGATTTTCTTCCAGGCATTGCCTTGCCGAGTTGCCATCTGGAATTGAAGAGGACTTGAAACATCCTTCTTGTCTGCTCACTTATTTTTGTGTCCTCTGGAAATAGCTATTGTTATTATATAAGTGTCTTGCAGTGTGTTTCTGTATTTGGTAATGTTTTCTCTATTTGCACCCTTCCAGTGCTGTGATATCTAGTCTGAGCAGGATGCCATGACACATGTAAGGCACACCTGGGTTTCCTGTAGAGAGTCTGAGTGGTTGGACCAGCGTTGAATGCTCTGTGTCATCGCTATGTCTTGATTTAGTTTCTGCATTTAGACAGACAGAAGCAGAACTGAGACACCGTGTGATTTGCCAAAAGAGATGCGAAGGAGGGCTTTATATTGTTCCCAGAAGGCAATGCAAACAAGGTCGAGCATGACAGCTACAGCTACAGTTAGCAGTGCAAGTTTGTTTATATTGTCCCTTGAGCCCATGCCAGATCAGCTGTCAATCAAACTTCAAAGACCCGCCCACTCAGAGGCTTGGAGGCTACATTTTTCTGATGGTTCTCCAAAGACAATTGAATAGTTAATTATGTTGTTTGGAAAAGATTATTGCTGTAAAAAAAGTAATAATTGAAAAATCTATTTAAAGAGTTTACTGATTGGTGTTGGCCAGATGTTAATCATTTGTGGACCCTTGTAAGTATCTAAATCTGTGCTGCCTGGTTATCCTAATTCATGACACTATCATTACATCTCAATCATTACTTTAGTCATTTCCCCTGAAGTAAGTCGATGAGGATCAGCTGATACCTCACCCATATGATATCCGAACGTGAAAAAGAAAAAAACATGATGAACAATTAGCGCGGTGCCAGAGTCTGAGAGTTTGTCAGACAGACAGCACTATAAATACCAGCAGACGTCACCAGGAAGATCCCCTTTCACTGAGGCTTAGAGCCACTCTGATCCAAGATCCAGAGGCTAATTTTAGCGCGCAGTGACCCCCGTCAGTGTGTCATCCATGAACACTGGGCTTGTGTTTTGATGTGGAGTTAAAGCCATTAAGCAGTGTGTTTGTCTGAGATTATGAACAAATATGTGTCCATTATTGAGTGTCCACATGCCATAACTTCATAGACATTTTTTATTTTTTCTACAGCAGGTGTTTATTAGCAGGGAAAGTTCACGTGGTAATAGTAAAACAGGTGCACACGCACACAAACAACAGGTAGGGTCATGAAGGTTGTGTTACTTTTGAGCTATTTACGGCCGTCCAGCTGTCAGCTTAGTGTCGAAGCGTCGGCCTGTCAGGACAACAGGTGGAATAGTTTCCATGCTGTCTAACGTACTCATGATGCAACCCTGTGTTTGATTTCCCTTCGCAGGACAAAAGGAGAATCCAGGAGAACATCGCCAAGAAAAGGAGAGAGATTGAAGAGGAGAAATTAAAACTCCAGTACATAAAGGTACTTTTTACTGCTTTTATGAGAAATGCAGGGGAAATGTAATTATGTGAAATGTGATTCTATCAGAAACTGAGCAGACTGCAGACACTCCCAGGAGGCAATGCGGGATAAAAATGACTGAATGTGCTAGCTAATAACAATGCAGCACTCTCTGTACAAACTGAGACACAATCTGAAGCAAGGCCAGACTTTCATTTCACCAATATTAGCTGGAGTCTCTCAGCATTATATAACTTAGTAATATTATTCTTATTCGACACAGCTATTTCCCAACACTTACTGTCACAGTCAACCTCCTCCGGCCCACAATCCCTGTTTCTAAGTGAAACCATTTTCAGCCAATTTACTTCTCATCTGAGGAAGATTAAGGGAGACAGTGGGTGCTCCACAGCAATCATAGAATGATGATGTGGAGCACCCACATTGTACAAGTAAGAGAGACAAAAACAAACCATGCTGAGGAAAAACACTGAAACCATTTCCAGTGCGTTTTAGGATTGTCATAGAATTATAAGTATATCTTTTGACAATACTATCCCTGAAAGAATGACTGTGTATCCTTACAAGCTGTATGAATAACCTTATACAAAGCTTTAGTCGACCTAAGCTGGGAGAATTCATCAATTTATCCTTGATATATTTTAGTAACTCGTAGACTTAAGACTCACATCTTACTGACTTACCTCATGTCCTCTTTGCAGATTGTGAACATGTGTTAATGTAACACCTTGTAAATGGTGATGCATAGTAAGAAAGTGTAACTTCTTGTAATGAGCTGTATAACTCTTGAATAATACTGACTGTGTATGAGAGACTCTGGGGACATCTAGTGGAGAGTTGGGGGATGACATGGTCTTAAAAGAGGCAGACAGAGCTGCTTCCACCAACACCTTTTGAATTATGAATAGATGTTTAAATACTGAGTTGCCTGTGTGTCGGTGTGTGTGACTGACAGAAGAAGGCCCTGAGGGAGCAGTGGCTGATGGACGGTCTGAGTCAGCAGCAGGAGGAGCAGGAGGCCATGAGGCTGCAGGCTGAGGACGAGCAGCAGCAGAGCGACCAGCTGCAGAGCAACATCCTCAGGTAACTTGCAGCAAATCACAGCTCATCCCACACTGAACAGGCAGGCAGCTGACACATGGTGTGGGGGAAGAAGGAGTTTATATTTTGTTCAGGTGCACTGAGGCTTGTGAGGACTGAGTGATCCCAGTGGGGGATATCACTCACTGCAGAAGAAGAATAATGGAATAGATTTTAGAGTCGCTACGGTCAAAGAAGATCTATTTCTCTGTTGAACCAAGAGTTGTTTTGCCCTTTTAAACTCTTATATAGCAAGAGGTTGCTTGTGGAAGCTTGCTGGTAACACTTTCTGAGTTTTGAGTATGTGTCTCTTTTCTTTCTCCAATGTTTGGGTCATTTTCAGAGTCAGGTTATACTGCCACTAGGTTGACACATTTGCATTGGAGTATTATGGTGCATACATAAAAACAGAAAAAATATACAATTATTATACAAATATATTTACCATTCAAATATTTAAAAAAAAATGTAACATAAATATTTAGAAACACTTAGTAGAATATAAATGTGACAGAATACTAAAAAAAAATCAAATATCTCAGGAGAGCTCCACTGAAAGAGCTGTGAAAAACTCATCAATATTCAAGTTTAAAGGTTTGTTTTGCTGTTAAAGAAAGTGGCGGGTCCCTTTCCACCTTTAAATCAACACAAGGGTGAAATTGCAATATTGTTAGAGGAAAAAAAAAGGTTTCCTAAGAGGCTGCCAAATGGAAGTTACATCATCATCAGCTCTAAGATGCTTTTTGGAAACCAGATGTGCAGGAGTCTTGGGAGAACATGAAGTGCTTTGGAACATCAAACACTAATTCACTGTCTTGTTTCTACAACCTCGACACTGGCACTTTGCCTCCGTGTGTGTGTGTGTGTGTGTGTGTGTGTGTGTGTGTGTGTGTGTGTGTGTGTGTGTGTGTGTGTGTGTGTGTGTGTGTGTGTGTGTGTGTGTGTGTGTGTGTGTGTGTGTGTGTGTGTGTGTGTGTGTGTGTGTGTGTGTGTGTGTGTGTGTGTGTGTGTGTGTGTGTGTGTGTTTGTGCGCCTGTGTGTGTGTGTGTGTGCGCCTGTGTGTGTATGTGTGTGTGTGTGTGTGTAGGCCTGTGTGTGTGTTTGTGCGCCTGTGTGTGTGTGTGTGTGTGCGCGCCTGTGTGTGTGTGTGTGTGTGTGTGTGTGCGCCTGTGTGTGTATGTGTGTGTGTGTGTGTGTGTAGGCCTGTGTGTGTGTGTGCGCCTGTGTGTGTGTTGCACTGTGGGAAGCAGCGAGGGATTAGGATCAGACTGTTTGACCTTAACTACCCCAGCAGCAGCATGTGTGTCAAAGCGCAGACAGTTTCCTTCATTACATCACAGCACTACTTATCCCGGCTTAGTGTCTGCACACACTCACAACACATGAGGCTTCACACGCTCTACATTAACACAACCCACTGTCCTGCTGTGAGGAACCATTTCCAACAATGTGCAGTGAATCATGACGAAAGGATGTGTCATATTTCACCAACAACCATTTCATACTTTTTTCTATTTCTTTAGGAATTGAAACCATCCTAATCATCTTAGGGCTATTAGTGTCATTTCTATATTCTTCCTATATTCCTTTATTTTATCTTGATCACAAAATAATTATTTGGAAGAATATTGACAGATTGTAAACAAGTCATTATAGCACTGTGTTCCCATATGATTTAGCTTAGATTAACACCTTAGAAAGGTCAGATATAATGTGTTGTTTTGTGAATGTACTATACATTTTACCCGGCAGACCTCTAGAGGTTTACGAAAGAAAGATTAGGCTTTTATTTTATTAATTTCTTTAGGGTAAAACCGCCAATTTTTTTTAAATGTTTTATTTCTAACACCGTTACACACTACTCAACTTGATATGCAACGCTCCACTTGATAGTAGAGCCATTTACATGTGTATAGACCTCAGAGCCATGTTTTAAAATGAAAATAGATGAGCGAACACAGCAGGACTTCCCAGAATGCTGCGAGTGTGGAAAAAAAGCCCTGAAGCAAGTGTTAAGTGTTTTTGCTTCATTAAAATGCATTCAAATGCTCTCTAGCTGCTGCTGTTATTAAGACGAGGAAAACGCTACTCGGCTCGTTTCATTAATCAACTGTTTATTACTCTCCTGCACAGAATAGAGAAGGAGGTCGAGGCGTTGGAAACACAGGAGCTCGACATCTCGGCCAATGAGGAAGCAGTTCTGAAACGGTTAAAAGAAGTGGAGAGGACGGCTGAGGATATAATAAAGGTAGGCTTACAAAAAAAACTGGCTGCTTTTTATTACTTTGCTCGCTTGTGTTTTGCATACTGATTATTTCTGCTTCAATTCACCTTGAGGCAATGCATCCTGATGAGAACTAACCTTTCTTTAAACTTTAACAAACGTAGTGATTATTCAATTGAAGTGAAGACACAGGTGTATATTTGAAACAATGCCCCTAATACATATTGATGAACAGACACTATGGTAGAAAACACTGGACTAGAAATATCAATACAGTAGGTAGCATTTATGCCGAAAGACAGGGTTTTGAAAATGTTATTTCTACTTAGCTAAATAAGGAAGTTCATTATATAACTGAGATGTGGGTTTCTGGTTCTTTGGGATTCGTACGGTTCTTTCTGTTGGGGAATAATTTGCCCTGCATGTCCTCCTTCTTCCTCTGATGCAGCTGAGCAGCCGTTATCTCCCATAAGGAGGGGCTGCCCTAACATATTGTTGATGTTGCCAGTTTGTGACCGGGCAACTCTCGGTCAGAGATAGTTATTGTTGTGGGACACCTGGAACACATCCTTCTCGGGGTGTAGATGACCCCGAGCCATAAGCGACAACAAATGTGATTCAGTGTCCCTCAGCTGTTTAGTCTATCTATTGAAGAATGTTGATTATTACACTCTGAACTAGTTAAAACTTAACTTCAGAATTGATTGTGTTATCTCTACCGTGTGGTCAAACCGTGGCCCGTGACATGTCTTGTGAATTCTCCGGCCGAAGCTCCAAATGAACCGTCAGTGTTTGCCATCAAAGCTCCAGCTCTCCTCGTGTCTCTCTCTGAGTCCTGACTCCAATTGCTTCAGAAGTTTCCCCCACACTTTCTTTCTTTGGACATTAGCAAGACTGATATTAGCCTCGTAGCCATGTTGCTAGCGATGTGTAAACAAGTAAAGCAATTAACTCGTGTATATGAAAATCACGCAACAGGAAATATATTATCAACCCTTCTGTTGCACATGTTTTTGCCAACAAATGTCCTGTTTATATTACTAAGATTTAGGTTTCTGGTTCTTTGGGATCCTTAAGGTTGTTTCATTCTTTGGACATTAGCAAAGCTGCTTGCATTAGTCATGTTGTTGCCGAACAGATAACTTGTTTATATGAATAACAGGAGATTTCTGTTGGGCAGTTTTGTTGCCAACGAATGTCCTGTGTGGTAGATTCTAGCGCTTTCTACAAATCTACTGAAACTGAATCCAAAGGTTATTGTTTGCTACTCACACCATGCCGCCTGTGGCTCTCCCTCCAAATACTCTAATCTGTGCTCGCCTCTAACAAGATGCACTTACTGGGGACTGTGTGGGTGTGCTTGGCTTCACAAGAGGCTGCTTTCAGTGAATAAGGTGGCAGGTAAATGGATTTCTCTCCTGGTGGGCGTGCGGCACACATGCACTAACATGAATAATTTGCTTTCTGCTTGCTGTGTTTGGACTGAAATGAATAAATGTGGCTTTAATGCGACATGGACTGCTGATGCACCATTAATTTGTAGCACTGCTGTGACGCTGCATCTCTCACCACTTTGACCTTCAACTACTCTGTCTTCACATTTAGGAGCTCAACGCAGACTTCCAAGCAGGTACAATCTACTCTTTACATCTGGGTTTGTTGTGAGTCTGTAACACTTTTCTTAGGCTGGGTTAACACACTCTACTAATAGATCTCACCTTATTTAAGTGTGTTAACTAACACAAGTGAATGTTACTTATTGAAATAGTCATAATGTTTCATCTATTGTTAATATACTAACATGTTAACCTCAATTATTTATAATTCAGACACAGGATAGTTGTTTTTTTAGGCCCATTATTTTGAAACCGTGATTTCATAATTGTAATGCCATGTTGTTTGGCTGAATTCTGGTAAATACAATAACTTGAGCAAGATTTTCAGATTCATACCGATGTCATGTTTCAGAGATTGAGATTAATCTGAACGTCTCACTTTTAGCAATAAAGAGAATAACCATACTGCTCAAACACCTTTAATTATCCCCCTTATTTTATCCTGTTTGGTGGGCTTACAAACTTAAAGGGGACCTATCATGCAAAATGCATTTTTGTACGTCTTTTATACATGAATATGTGTCCCCGGTGTTCCAGGGAACTCACCAAGTGTCAGAAAACACAACCCTCTCTATTTTCCTCCATACCCAAATCTCTAAAAAAGGGGCTGCAACGGATCTGATAAAAACTGATCCAGATTTGAACACTTCTATGACGTCACAGAAGTGGCGCTACGGCTATTGGGCCAACTCCACCAATCAGGAGGAGACAGCCACGGCCATTGCCGTTCGAAAGCGCTGGAGACGCTGTAGTACATATGCCAGGCCAGTAGATGGTGCTGTTCTCACAGAATCAGCCCAGTGCTACAAAAGTGCAAATTAAGCTAAATGAGGCGTGGCTAAAATGCATGATCTGTTTGGTATTTTGAACAAAAGAAAGTATAAATATGCCTTATATAGGTATGGTCCTACACTATATTATTAAAAATATAGCATGATAGGTCCACTTTAACATGCGTTGTTTGTTATGTTGTGATATGTACATAACTGGGACATAATGACACCTTTGAAATGATTATCTTTTATAACCTTACTAATGATGGCATGGCTTGGCATTTATAAAGTTTTCTCGTATCTCACTGTTCAAACTTTGTTCCTCAGATGTGATGCGTAATGCCTCCTCGCCACTCCAAGATTTACCATTCTTCTACCCTCCAATACCAACAAGAAGCCCAGCTATACATAGGCCTGGTAGTGAGGAACCAAAAAAAGGTACAGACATCATTTACAGTTAGGATGTTGAAAGTATAATAAAATGTGGTCCACCATTGGACTATGGGGAGATTTTAGATGCCTGCCAGCAATTTCCCAGAGTTCTCGGCACCCTGCTGACATCCATTTTGTGCTCTTTAGGCTTAGCTGTCTGGTTAAGACCGGGCGCTCTGATTGAAAATGGTTTCATAAGGCTATTTTAAAAGCTGCAATTTTCATCCGGATGCAAATTATGAAGCACTTAGAGTTCGGTGTGAATATAACTGAACATTTCTATGCCGCCATTTAGAATTCTGCTCTAGTCATGAATCATTGACAGCAACTTTTTCATGAGGTTGGAAAAGACTGCACTGAGTAAAAACTAAAAGACAGAGGCAGATGTACATATTGTACTGCATTAAGTAGGCATTTAATCAATAAGAAAACACTCTAAATCGTATTTAATGCAAAAGCATTTAGCATTAGAAGAACAAAAAGGAAAGATTTGTTTTCTGTTCTGCCTCATTTTAAAGACATGCCATTGCCTTAAACTGATCTCAATTAAAATGCACTGTATTGAGTAATAGTGTGAAAGCATGCTTGTTTTACCTCAAAGTTACAATATGAAATGTTCAGCGACAAGACATTGATTTACAGTGAGTCTTTTCTCAATTTCAGCCACGTTTGCGATGGAGATCAGTGTGGAGCATGATAAGAGAACAGGCAAAAGTCAGGTGGTCTCTACTGCCACCATCACCCCAGAAAGCCTCCAGGAGAGGGGGTTAAAGGTCTATGAAGATGGCCGCAAGTCAGTATATGCATTGCACCCAGATGGAGGCAAAATGCCCAGTGGATTAGTTGGAGAGATGACGCCCAAAGAGGTGGAAGAGCTTCTGCATCAAGCCGCAGATAGCAACGTTCCCACTGGGGTGCAGTACCATCAGCCGGTCTACTCTGCACCTTACACAGAGAGCAGGCCTTCAACACCCAGGACGCCCAATCAAACACCGAGAGAAACCCCAACCCCAACACCCAGGACGCCCAATCAAACACCGAGAGAAACCCCAACACCCTTCCAGAGCTCAGCCGGGAATGAAGCTGAAATCCTCAAAGAAGAAAGCCAGCACAGCCAAGACCTGGAGGGATGGACCACCCCGAAAACACCCAGCCCTATCCAACAAGACTCAAGAACTGGAGAGGAAACCAAGCTGCCCTTCTGCCACATTCCAGGACAATCGTTGGGTGACAGGCCTCCGATTTCAAAGCCACAGTTTGGAGCTCAAACTCCACGAGGACTCACCAACAGGAAGACGGATGCGGGCAGTCCAAAGACCCCGTCTCTTGTCTCAGTCAAAGCCAGATCTGAAGGAATGCCTACAACCGTTCAGCCGTTCTACATGGATGTCGATATCCGTTGTCCTTCAGTAGCCAGCGGTCTGCTGGGTGACACCGATGGCTTTTTAGAGAGCTCTAGTGAATTTGACAGACTTTCCCCCTTCTGTTCAGAGAGTATCGAGTCTCTGAACTTCACCAACAAACTGCCAGAGGAGCTGGAATCAGAATCGGTCACTATGATCTTCATGGGTTACGAGAACGCGGACGAAGACGAGGAAGACATCCAGGCTGAACTGGTGGTCATCGGAAACAGCGATGACGATAGCGATGAAGAGGCCCAATGTAGTCCTAAAGAAAGGACCGAGGAGTGTCTCTCATACCACCCAGAGGGATACAAGAGCCAGGTCTTCCAACCCAAAATGGAAAAAGCCAATGTTACCGGCCGCAGAGACATTATTGATGATGCCTACTCAGACTGGGATGATTTAGGGCTCCACAAGCCCACATTCATCCACAAGTCTGGGAAGCCAAGTCCCTACCCGCTGGGGCATAGCGGGGACACGGCAAACACAGGCAGCATCAATATGGAGGAAATGAAGCTCTGTTCAACAGGAAGATGAGAAGGAAGATTACCACTTCCTGAGAAACTGGGTCATTGAAGAGGAAATGTAGGAGAATAATTTAAGTGATTCCTGTTTTTTTTTCTTACAATAGGTTTGAAGATATCTCAGCCTTGCTCCTAACCTTCCTCTTGTTGCATTTATTGTGAAAAGCCTTACCTTGCCATAGTTTGCCTCTAATATTGGTGTGACTGCAGCACTTTGCCAAAGATATTTATGCTGCAGGAAGCCAAAGTAAATCTTTAAAGATGTCTTGTGACCATATGTATGTGGATATCCATCTTGTTCTGGGCCTTTTAATTCTTGGCCGTTAACCTCAAATAAATCTTAACATTTTTGGAAAAAGTGTTGTTCCAGCTTTTTGTCAACATAGCCAGCTTCAGAAATGGTGTCCACAGTTATTTGTGGTTACTGTAAGTGGTGGGAGGCTGTGGCTCAGTGGATAGTGTGCTGGACTTCGAATAAGGAGATAGCAAGTGCGAGTCCCACTGCAGTCAGCTTGTCGTTGTGTCCCTGGGCAAGACACTTCACCCCAAATTGCTCCTGTGGGGATTGTCCACAGTACTGAATGTATGTAAGTCGCTTTGGATAAAAGTGTCTAACTAGTGACATGTAATGTGACTAATTTATGGTGGTGCCTTTTTTTTCAATAAAGTGTTAATCATGCCATGTGGTGATTGAATTTCTACTTTGAATGTGTACATTAACAGTCCCGTGTGCTGTTAACTTCTCTGTGATTAAAAATATTTCTTCATCTTCTAATTGTGACGGTGTTGTTTTACCTGATAGTAACAATGACATATAGCCAGCACTTAATATCATCAGATGACTTCATACACTTATTTGCATTTTTGTAATGCTCTGTATAGGATGCTACATAATATGATCTGACAATAACACACCTTGGAAACAGTATGAGGGACATTTGAAAAGATGTCTATTGCCACTTTGAATTAATAAATTAATGATATGTAATAATAGCACAAGTACAGAGCTTCAATTCACATTTAAAAATACATGAATATGATTAAAAAGGTGTCTTTATGTGTTTGTCTGAGCGTCTCTGTATAGCGGAGGCGAGCAGCTCTGAGTTGTGTCTGCAGGAGGAAAAGGACTGACGGCTGAGAGAATTCAACTTGTTTTTCTGCTGCTCATGTCGAGCACTCGCCCTTGGTTTGCTTTGTGATGGCTCCTTAGACTTTGTGCACAAAGGATACAGTTATATAACGGCAATTTTGTATGAAAGAAAAAAAAACATGAGAAAGTGATAAACCTGAGGTTCGCTGTCACCGAAATATTCACGGTGTATCCGTCTCTCTTAGCTGGAGCAGTGCAGGCACCTTAACAAGTGTGTGAATGTATACTGTCTTCCTCTGACGGGAGTGAACGTGCCGTGTTAACAGAGATGCTTTTTGGCTGAAAAAGATGACTCATTCTTCACAGCATGGATTGAGTAGTCAGTCACACATTGTGGATGTAGTTAGCACTCCTGAGCAGCCTTAAATGAGAAAGACAAATACCAGAGAAAGCAGTTTAACGGAGGTCTGTGGATATGCCAGAGGAACATTCATTCTGGATTGAAATGTGATTTTCAACGCTAAATTGGATGCAGGAGTGATAGTCATTCACTGATTGGTTTATTTGGAAATGTCTTTTACATTTTTATAAACCTCACATTTATACTTTATTCATGTCTGACAAAAATAACTAAAATGGGGTTATATGGTGTTGGCATTTATAGTACCAAGATATCACAAGTTATTTACTGATTTCACAGAAACAGCACTTTTGGTTCCGCTTGATTTGCCTTTAAATCTTCCTGAAACCCTCTGATTGGAAAATAAAATCACTGCCAAATGAAGTGCTTTCAAACAGCAGGAAAAACAGGCTTATATAATGAAAATTCTTGATTTTAACCTATAACCCAAGCTCTTGAATTAAATATGTAAATGTAGCATTTGAAGATCTCCCTAATAGCAGAGAGTAAGAATGTATAATAAGCTGGCAGTTCAAATCAATCCTGCTGGAGTGTGTGTTCGAGCACAAGATGAGCTCCTCTCTGCCTGAGAGTGGGTTCATCAAAGAAAGCTCAAGTATTGGCTGTCTCCAGTACACCCCCCCTCCTCTTGCCGTCCAATCAGAGGCGGCAGCAGCCAGGCAGAGCTGCCAGTGTGATGCTGCACTCAGAAACAGAGCAGAGCCTTCTGCGTTTATCCTGTCTCAGGTAGGTCTATTTACACACACACACACACACACACACACACACGCACACACACGCACACACACAGCACTCGAACAAAAGTTTGCAAAGATGTTCCTCTCCGTCAGGCTGCAGATCCATACTGCATCATCTGCTGCTGAAACGGAAAACACCCCATGTGTTTGTTATTGATGTGGACCGAGGGATGCCGCGAGCCTCCCAGCAGATCAGAGTTATTAGGATTATAATATGCTGATCGACTAGCTGCAGTAATGTGTGTGTGTATGCATGTGTGTGTGTGTCGGCATGTGGGGGCTTAGAGGATGTGATTAAGCTGTGAAGTTGGACTGTCCTTGTGTTGACTGATTACATTATTCACGTTTATGATAAGATTGAATGTTTGATCTTGTCACAAGATGCAGATATCAGCTGATTATTCAGTAAAGGACGGGTTAGTTGACTCACATTTGTTTCACTAGTAGTGCCTTGTCATACAGTTGCCTATGGTTTCCAAGTTGGAAGATATTTGTCTGTGAGAAAATACATATTTTTGTGTAATTTCAGATTATATTTTTGCTATTGTGCACCTAACAAACTCCAGCAATTGTTTGTCCAGTAAATCCAGTCCTTGAGTGCTCTTTAACAATTGATAGATACAAAGGTGTTCCTGGAGAGCAGACGTTGTTTTTGTTTGTGATTTTGAATGCTCAAAATAAAAAAGGTTGACGTCAGTAGAGTTTGGATTATAACAAAAAATAAGCATGACAGCTTCACGTTTTGTGAGTCCATCAAGGATGGGCTTCATGTAGAGCAATCAATGAATCAATCCATTGTATCCAGCAGTTAGTGAGTATTTAAGGGGGGGATTATTGGTATTCCATATATTGGTAGAGCGCCAACAATGTGTCAGTCCGTGCCTCAATACGTCCTGTCGCTTTTAGCTCCATTCCTTTTCCAGATTACAGCCGGACACGGACACTTTTAGCAGAGTTTACAAGAAAACAGCGCATTTGTCAGGGACTGTGAAATTGTGGAATAATTCACATTTGAAGCTGTTGTTGGTATTGTTGGGCTTCAGTAGTTGTGTTTGTGTTTGTAATTGTGTGTTTGATTATGCAATGATGTGACTCATTGGTGTTTTGAACATTTTCTGACAATCAATGGAGCAGAACGAATGCTTCATACTCTTTTCAGGGATGTGTTCTTCAAAGATGAGAGAAATGATGATAAGTGCAGATGAGCCTGCAGCTCTCTTTCTCAGTCCGCTGCAATGATTACATATGAATTCTTAGAACAGAGAGGGAGCCGGTGATTTCAAGGCTTTCACGAACAGAAGTGGGTGTGTGTGTGTGTGTGTGTGTGTGGCTGCGACAAAAGCTCACACACACACACAAACACAGATACACAGACACACATACACAGACACCTACACATAAGCACACACACATACTGATGTCTCTGTCATAATTGTATTGTGTTTGTGTGGTGTGTGTGTGTGTGTGTGTGTGTGTGTGTGTGTGTGTGTGTGTGTTTTTCCCTCTGCTGCTTTAAAGTCAGCCTTAACAGCCCTTATTTTTTCCTTTAGTGTTGACAGGTTGAAATATTTTAAGATCAGGGATCACAGACTGGACATTTTTAAATGTTCTTTCTTTTTCTCTGGAGAATGGAAATTCATATCCAGGAGAAAACGGCTGATATAAGCTTTTACATGCGTAGTGACACAAGATCTATACCACTGAGATAAGATCTACTTTATTCCAAGGTCCCTTATTCTCATGAGGATGTCAGCCTTGAGTTTGTCGAATGAAACCTTCTGAAAATGCTTTCACGTGTCTATCCTCTCAACTTCAACGTGCCCTTTTTATGGAGGGCTTAATGTCTCAACTGCTCCTCACTGAGCCTGGAGATTATTAGTGAACAGAAGTGGGCATTCAAAGCAAGTGATGATTCACAGGCTTCTTGCCTTGAATTCAGCGACACCCAAACAGTCATTGGGATCTTTTTTATTTGGTGTACCCACTTGCGACACGTGCCGTGAAAATTAAGACACTGACTGTAGAAAAAACGATTAAAACAACCTGTTTGATGTTTCTTATAATAAACGTCTAGCAGCTTTTATTATGACTGTTGTTCAAGAGCAAAGATGGAAAAGGTGTGTAGTTGATCATAGCAACACAAATGGATTAATAATACATGTAATTCTTTGACTGAAAACCTCTGTTGGCATCTCCTAGAAACAATCAACATTGTTTTATTTGTATTACCATGACCTATTTGTGCACACACTGCTGGACAAACTGGTCATTAATAGTACATTTTCTATGATTTAGGTATCATTAATTAATTAATTTATGGCTTTTGCAATATAGAATGCTTAGAAGCAAGTCCTCTTGAAATCAAAGAAGAAGAAAGTGGACATGTGCAGAACAACGGGGCATATGATCAAACAAACACATAACTTCTATCCAGAATAGTGCTGCTGCAGTTTTGGCACGTACAGTACATGCAGAGTTGTGAACAGCATATTGGACAACTGTTTGCGAGTCGAATGCAAAGCCCTTATGGATTTTGAGGAAGCCTGCGACACAATCTGTGAGTCTGTAAAGGAGGACACATTCGACACAGATGTGGTTATTATTGTTCAGCTCCCTCTCTAATCTAATGTTCTTCTCCTAACTCACTTTTGATTGGTTGAAATGAAACACAAGGGCTTCAAAACAATAGCATTATTCCCGATGTATTAGCAGGAAGTTATTGATGGCTAATGCACTTTTTATTGGGATTGTGTGCTTGTCGGTCAATGGGAAACAGCCTCAGGGAGCCTCATCTCCACTCGGCCTAATCTGAATGACAGTTACACCACTTGTGTGTGTGTGTGTGTTATGTAAAGTTTGCTTTTACTTCGTTAACACTCCGACAAAGCCTGAGCATTTGCATGTGCCTGTTGTATGGCTTGTTTCTATCCGTGTGATTTACAAGCTGTGCCCTGAATATGATTTCTGTGTGGAGGATCTACATGTTGACGGTAGGCATTGCTTAGTTTTATAATATGTCGGGCAATAGATAGATCAGTGTTGTTTTAAGCTAATAAATGAAAGGGGACATTTATCTACAGCCATATAATTAAGAGTATTTCTCTATTGCTAGTGTTCAGCTGTTCCAGGATGCTTGTTGTTGGTCCTTAAGGAGCTTTAAAAATGCACAATTTAAGCCACACTTAAGTATTTTAAGATGTTTTTCCAATTGCATGTTGTTCTTTGTGAGCAAAAAGACCCCATCCAACAATCTGTCGATCTGTGTCTCAATATGTTTTGGCTTCCTGTCTGATTTTCCGCCCCAAAGCTCATTTGGTCCTACTTAAGATGTAGCTGGAGAAGTGACAAAAGGCTCAGTAATTCACTCGAACAGCTGGACACTCTGGATGTGATTGCTGCTTGCACAGGAGGACGTCGTGTGTTTGTTGTTGACTGTTAACTGGGGTGGATTAATACATAGTATGTGTACTATTGAGTATTTTTCGCAGCAGAAAGGTGTATATGGGATTGAGTACAAATAAACTACAGTGTTTGTTCACACTAATGAAAGAACATGTCAAGCTGTGAAACAGTGGCTCATTGATTTAGTTGAATAATGGAGCTGTATTGCATGGAGGAACAATACGTAAGGCTTTTGATTCACACCATGGGGATGCTTTTAATGCTGGTTTTGATATTTCTTTTCAGTTTGATAGCTTAAAGAGAAATGTAGATATAGTTAAACAAATCCTTAAAATGTAAGAATGTTTGGATGCATTAAAAAGAAGATGTTTTTAAAAGTATAAATGGTCACAAGGTCTATTTGCAGGTCCATGCAGTCTGTGTTTTTGTAAAGCAGAAATCCCACCGATGTTGTTCATTTTGTCCTGAATTAATCTAGTGAATTCAGGACAAAATGGACATCGTTTCACAATCATAGCATCCGTTCAAATGATGGAATATCAATATGAAATAATAGAAAATAGGCCATGACTTAATAATGCAATGAACCATGTTTTTAAATGAAGATATGTATGTTGGTTTTATGCAGCACTGTGACTAGAGAACTCATAGACATTCAGGAGCTGTAGGGATTTGGAAAAATGTACTAGAGCAACTTAAGTTTGTTCATTTATTATTTAATGAGGGAATTTGGGTGTCAGGTCCTGGAGGCATACTGTAGTAGAAAATAAGAATTGCGAACAGGCTCTGCAGAGGTTTCTCTAAGCTCACAAAAAACGAATATGTATGCCATTTTAAATGATCTGCAGTTTGAGTAAAAGGACGTTGCTCAGCCTTAACAAACAGGTCACGTGTTACTCCTATCTTGCATCATGTGCTAGGTTTGCTGGCCTATGTGACATTTTATATGTTCATATTTAACAACACATAATTATATCATGCCATTATATTTTGAGAGCTGCTGACATCACATATTTTTGCTCCGATTAAAAAAGCTTGCAGTTTCTCTCCACCTACTGTAGACTCAGAAAAAAGTGAATGCCTCCTTCTTAGGTTAGATGTCTCTCTCTTTTTCACACTGTCATATCAGCTTGCTAAAAAAAAACTGAAGGCTGTGGGCTGCAGTGCCTGTTTTTAAAATGTAAAAGTAATTTGACCAACATGACAAGGTGTTTTTTTTTTAATGAGGACGTTTTCATTTACCACTCAACCCACACAACATGAATACAGCACTGCTCCACGTCACATTGAACAGTCTGCTGATGGTGCTGAGGCGGAGGCGGCTGAGCAGCGTTGATGGTTACCATGGCACTCAGTCTGTCGCATGCATGTGTCCTTGTAGGCGTATTTGTTTGTGTAATTGAAAACTTCCAAAGACAACCAAGGCCTTGTGACTGATGTGGATGAATAAAAGAGATGTAGTGGCCTCTTGATGGAACACGGCATACTGTGGTACAACATGAACAAATTAACCAACTGATCATTTTCTCATGTTCATTTATCAACCAAATTCTGTGCCTGAATATATTTTTGAAATGAATCATGCAGGAGTGATGAAAGGAATGTGCCTGCTATGAATGCTCCGGAGAGAGGAAGAGGAGAAAGGATTAGATTTTTGGTAGCGAGCGGTCTGGCGCTGGCAGTGTTTGATGTTTGTAGCCGTGGGTATCCTGTTAAATACTTTCAGCTTTCAAGTGAAAACAGCCCTGGTGAGCGTTTGCCTCGACGTTTGGCAGCAGGACCACATCACCTCGGATTCAGGGTGGGGCAGATTCAACCAGAGATAGATGATGTATCAGAAATAACAGGTTAATTATCCCTTAACCTTTTACATTCTTATATCTCTTTGAATGTTCATTGTGGACAAAGAGAAGAGTCTATTTACCCTTAACACACACACTATAGCGAGAGGTATCACTCTGTAACAACTGTGTGTTTGCTGTTAATTCAGTGGAAATGTGATTGTGCTATATTGAAGTTTGGACCCAACATGCACTATGAATCAAAACACATTTTCAGATTTGGTTTTAGCACGTGCATATCCCCAATTTTCGAATTAATCATTGTTCTGTGAGATGTGCTCTGTTCACAAAGTTGTATGCGTAAAAGTAAAACTGTGTACAAATGAAATGCTTAGTGAATTTAGATTTTTGATCAATTCTGTGTATTTTTTTGTGAAGAGCAAGAGGCAATCAGGGATTGAATCTTGTGATTTGGTATTCAAGCACTGATTGTAGCCACTGATTGTTCTCACACTGACAAGTAATAGCTATTTAAATGTCTGTGAGTACATGTGTGCGAGGGTGAACACAGGGATTGGGGGGCTCAGACAACCATCTTGCAGGGACACTCTGGCAGTGTGTGGGAGGCAGACCCTTCACGGCAGTCTTACATAAGAACAGCTATAATGCCATCTAATTCAGCTGCTTTTGATGTGCTTCATCTCCTACTGAACATAACCCACTTAGGAAAACATTCACAAACCCACCCCACCCCCTCTTTCCTGTTTCTCCAAATGGCGCAGGCACAGAGCTCTTAAGTGCCGTCCGTGGACATGTACAAATGTGTTTATTGCACTTCAAGAACTGTTAAGGAAGATTTGCCAAAGTCACATTGGTGTGATTACATTCACACTCACAAAGACATCCTGTAGTGTTATTGAGCGGGTCCTGTGTTCTTGTCTTTGCTGTTGATGATGATGATGATGATGAAGATCTTTTCCATTGCGAGTTTTGCAGTGACAAAACTCTTCATTTGTTCACAAACAAACGCAATCTTTAGTCTGAACATTCCCATTTGTATGCATCACAGCGATTCTCCTGCTTTGTTTAACAATATCATTATATATAATAACACTATTGATGGTAAGTGCTTTGTTACACAGTGTGCAATATTGATCTCATGTCTAAATAATAGTCCTGGTTCAGCTGAGCGGCTGATTTAAAATCTATTTCGTTCCATTATAATGTCTTGCTGGTTATTTGGGGGTGATTTCACACAAGCATATTTAAAGACGAGACTTTGAAACATAAGGAGGAAGACAAGGTTACGAAGACTGCAAATCATTTCAGTGTGAAGGAGGGGTACTGTGAATATGCTGGAATTGAATGTGCAAATGAACAAACTAACAACTCCCTTTCAGCCTCCCAGAAAATAAGTCTACTTTTCTTGTTCTCTCTTTTTTTTCTTCCAGAGAGCTACCTCGATGGATTTCGAGGCAGATGGAAAAGAACTGAACGAAGGTTGCAGCACAGCCGTCACCATGGAAACCACTGAACAATCGGAGCCGGCGATGGACTGTGAAGTGGAGGTCGCAGTGGCTGATTCACCTGAGCACAGGGAAGATTGCACTGCAGATGATGAACCTGTTTGCTTAGAGACAGACTCATCAGATTTCCCGGGGGAAACGGCGACGCTTGACAAATTATTAACTGACCTGCCAACCGGCACAATTGATATTGACAACACTGACTGCCCTGAAACGCCTTGTGAGGCTCCAAATGAAGCTTTGATACTGGAATCAGGGCATGAAGAGCTCAACAGGAATGAGTCAATCAACTCCTCTGTGTCCGACACACTCTCCAGTGCTGACAGTGTGTATGAGAACGAGGTACATTGTAAGAAGCAGGACATGCCAGAACAAGATCCTGAGCAAGAACAAGTCCCTGAGCCAGAGCAGTATCCCGAGCCAGAACAAGACGTTGAACCAGAACAAGACGTTGAACCAGAGCAAGATGTTGAACAAGCGCAATTCCCTGAGCCAGAGCAATACCCTGAGCCAGAGCAATACCCCGAGCCAGAGCAATACCCCGAGCCAGAGCAATACCCCGAACCAGAGCAATACCCCGAACCAGAAGAAGACACTGTACCAGATTATTACCCTGATGAAGACCTAGACCTGGGGCAGTACCCTGAGGCTGATCAAGACCCTGAACTAGACGAGTACCCTGAGCCGGAGCCATACCCTGACCTAGAGTTATACCCTGAACCGGAGCCTGAGGATGAGGATAATAAGCTTTATCTCGAAGATGATGGTTATCCAAATGTGGCAGTCGATGCAGAGGAAGACCCAGAGGCCTGTGAAATCCTGTTTGAACCGCCCATTACCGAGGAGTCGATACTAGAACAATGTATTAGAGAAGATGCAATGTCAGATGTTTCCAATGAGTTCTGCCATGACCAAGACCCTGATGATATGGACGAATGCCTGGGAGTTGAGATTGAAGCCGCTTCGTCAGACAGTGACACAGACGACAAATGGAGATCAATATTTTCTTCGTCCATAAATAAAGAAGATGACGACTCATATTTGGACAATCTTGAGCTGAGTGCTCAGGAGCTCTTTGTGCAGAAGGTTGAGGTGACAGACTTTCAGGAGGAAGACACCAACAACATCGAAGAAGTCCATATTGAGGTTCCACAAGTGGAAGAAGTTCTGGAACAACCTGAGGATGCCATTTCCTTTCCTATCCCTCCACAAGAGGTTAAATATAACCCTTTAGGCCTTCAAGGTTTGTCCAAAATCTCTGAAGATGAGGGTGAAAATGGAAAAGATGCCAATCATAACCACGCCGCCAATGAAACGCACATCGACGCAGACTCGAACAAGAAGCAACCGAAAGACTTCTGTGTGATACAGGAGACCAAGAGTAAGAATGTCAGCACAGAGCATGTGGACTTCCAGCTGGCTCGAAAACAGTGGCGGGAAATGGAGGAGCAAACTAAGAACAAGATCATCATCCCTACTACCAAGCCCCCCAGCTTTCACGGCAGCCACAGCTTCATGTACACACCGGTCCGCAACATTGAACGAACTCAGAAGAAAGCTTACGAACTGGAGAACTTGAATCTGCTTGGCGATTATCCTCACACGCAATTCAGCCCTTGCTCAGAGGATTCTGGCCTGGATGATTCCAGCTACAGGTCCCCGTATGATGACCTGGAGACATCTGTCGAAAGGGAGATTCGCATATCAATGGAGCGGGAGGAAAACTTCAGGAGAGAAAAGGGCCTCTCCAGGATGGGCAAATCCACTGATTGTGCTCCATCACGAAGTATGCCGAGATCTATAAGCACTCCACTGACGCCGTCGTTCATCATTACCTCCTCACCCAGTAAGGAACCACAAAGACATGAAGTATCGGCAAACAACGTTATCATTCTCGACCCAAGAAATGATTTCACATCCAACCTGAGACACGGCAAAGACAACGGGGCGGCTCGGTCCGGAGAGTGGTGCTCCGAGGACAGCAGCTCCAACGTCATCATCCTGGAGACATCCAACCTGATTATCCGAAGTGCCTCCGATTTCTCACTCAACAAAGCCTGTGAGCAACCCCAGGAGAAGATGTTCCTTAACAACCCCTTTTTCAAGCTGCGTTCAAGAAGCACAATGTCGCTGGTGGATGAAGAGATTAAGATGATGAAGCAGAGGGAGGAAGAGCTCAGGAAAGAGAGGGTGAATATGTACGGGAAAGACAGGTTCGATAACGAAAGGATATTGTCAAATCACATGGACACGTTGTCGTTTGACAATCCAGGTACGTCAGCGATACATCGACCACATTAGTAACACTCTGTACACATGTGTTTTGCCTTTTGGTGTGTGTGCATTAAGCTTATGATGCTGTTTTGATTTTACCAGTGAAGTGCAAGTCGTCCCCATCATCACCAATGAAAACGGCCTACAGGATGGATCGCTCTGCTCTGTCCTGTGATCACAGAGTAAGTTCTTGTTCATACATTTTCATTTTCATTTCATAATTGTAGCAAAATGTAAGTAACTGAACAGCAATATGACCATACCATTACCATTGCATTGACACTCATTTACTTCCCACTTCAGTTTTATAATCTGTGAGAGGAGGTGGAAGTGAAGGAGGTGGAGGTGGAGTGCTTTGAAAGCAGGTAAACAATCAGCTGTCTTTCTTAGTTTCCAGACCTCTACGCAGGAGGAAGACGCAAGAGTGCTATGGCTCTGCGCTGGGAGGCGGGCGAGTTTACAAAAAACGAATGAAAAGGACCAAGTCAACAGATTGCCATATATGGGCATCAATTGTCAATGTTTTACTCATACAAGTTGAATGCAGTGTTGCAATTGTTTGTTTCATTTGGTGACAAAACCGAAACGCTCTGCTTCTGTGATGCTTTGGGCAAAATTGGCAAGACAATGAGAATTTTTTTTGGTTGACAAAATTCATATAAATGTTCTACAGTTTTATTCTGATAACACTAACTTCCGGGCAGAGGGTGTGCGTTTGTTTCCTGATCAAAGCTGCTGCAGGAGATGACAGTTTATACTACTTGTTGGATTAATAAAATCATCTTTATTACAATTTCGACAGGAACAGTGCCAACACACAGCTTCCACTTAAAACAAGGTATGAGGATTTGGAACTGTGGAAAATGGTGATTATCATGCAATAATGTTTAATATCGGCATGCCTCCTGGCGAACGATCACCTGCATATTATACCGTTTAAAAAGACATAAACTTCAAAAAGCTGCCAGTAGAAGAAAAAAATACTTTGAATATTGACCTTGTTTTTCTGGGATAGTAGTAAACCAATCTTAATATAGTACTCACATGCCATATGTACATAAAACGTTATTGGTAGCTGTCAGATACATTATAATTGTAGCTAGGGTACGCTTTGATAGCACGAAGATTAGTTGTGAGGGTTAAGGTTGTGTAACTGAATTTATGTTTTCTGTAACTTGGGGGCAAGAAAAAGAGGTTGAAGACAAAACATTACCATATCATCCCTTATAGTAGTTACCTATTTAGACGCAGCACAGTGCAACTTTATCGATCAATTGAGTGTTTTTAGCTCAAGTTTGGTCGCTACTAACTCTTCGAAAAATGTTCTCATGCTAGCTACAGTAGCATTTCACTTTGTCTGCTGTAAAGTGTTGGACAAGCAGTGAAGACTAGCTTACGTTAAAACAGATGCCTACTGCAAGTGAGTTTGAAGAACTCCATATTGAAGGAGCAGACTTTAAACAGAGTGCAATTTGAATCCCATACAGTTTGGCGGCGTTATAAGGAGTTTGTCTTAAGGCCAGTATGGAAAATGAAAGTAATCAATGAGTCTATCTATGACATGTGACTACTGTATTAAGATAGAATTGAAAGATTGTGAACCTTTCCTTTATTTAAAGCAACATTATGTAGTAATCGGTGGTTTCAGAGTGCTAGTCATTAATATTGGAAGCTGTTGTGTTAGACATGCATTTGTTATGATTACCTTACTTATTAATAACCTAAATCTAGCGAGTCGACATCTTTGCTTACACAGCCAAAACATCAAGCAACATCACAAGGCATAAAGCACGTTAATATTGCAAAAGCTTTCTGTACATCAAGAGACTTCATATATAACCCAAAGGCTACCACAGCACTATCAGAGAGAAGGACACATATTTTATAGTATTAAAACAGTTATATAATGTTGCTTTAAAAGATGAGTATTTGCTGATCTGAGAGTTGTTGTTTTTGCTGAGATGCCTGAATGTTAGACAAATGTAATGTTGACTCCACTCTTTGCTTAACCTTTCTTGACATTATAAATGTAAATCAGATTTAAAAACATATTTTGATGTTATTGTATGTCTTGATACAGCAAATGCTACATGCTCAGTGTATATTAATTGTATTTTCGTACAATGCTTATTCGCTGCAAATTAATATTTTAAGGTGAGCTAGATGGGCGTAAATCAGCACAATATGAAGAATATATTAAACCCATACCTTTAAGTTGAAAAGTATAAATCACATATTGTTACATAAATCATTTAGCGAGAATAAATATGAATATGCATTTTAGAGTTCAGTTTGTCACACACTACCTGCAGTTAGACAATCCAATACGTACAGGTGTAGTGAGCATTGCTGTCAACAGTGCTTTAAACTAGAGGACCAATGATATACATGCACAGTGGACTAAAATCTCAGAGCTTTGGAAATACAAAATAATTACAGAGGTTTCCAAAAGATAGTATTTTATTCTCTATACAAAATGACTATAAATGAATGTTCATGTATATACTGTACAGTTAAAGGTGGGGTAGGTAATTCACTTCAGAAACACTTTTTGTTATATTCCATGGAATGCTCTTAACATCCTGATAGCAATGAATATATGAAATGCTTTGACAATAAATACATAAAAAAATGTCATCTGTGGAAGCCGTGGCGCTGTAAAGAGCACGACCAATCATCTGAGCCGGCCCGGCTGAAATAACTAGATGGCCTACATATTGTTACATAAATCATTTAGCGAGAATAAATATGAATATGCATTTTAGAGTTCAGTTTGTCACACACTACCTGCAGTTAGACAATCCAATACGTACAGGTGTAGTGAGCATTGCTGTCAACAGTGCTTTAAACTAGAGGACCAATGATATACATGCACAGTGGACTAAAATCTCAGATGTCAGCCTTCCATCTGTGCACAAACTTATCTCGTGCCCTCATTGGTCATGTGCGCGTTCGTGTGTGTTGGAGGAGGGGCTCTGTAAGGAAGTCTGAAGGAAGTGGCAGATTTTTTCCGGTTGTGTACTTTCAAATTCTAGCGCACTTGAGCTGGTTTCTCCATTCTTACCTACCCTACCTTTAAGATACAGTATACTTACATCTTGTTTATTTTTCTTACTTTAATTTAATTTGTATTCAACCTCCTTTTTTTTTTGTTACAGGACAAATGTCTGAAAAAAAAGGGATTTTCCTAAATATAAAAAGGTATTTAATGATAATTGTAAAGTTGATATCATTATTTACAAAGCCTTGTTATGTTCAGCTTCTTAGAGCTTGTTACTCCTTTTCCTTAGATTGGACTGACCTTAAACAGCATTGTTTTACATTTCATGTTTGTATGCTTCTTTGTTCAATTATAGCTTACAAATCTCAAGGTTGCTTGCTGATGTTTAAACATTCTGTGGAAAGTCCCTGACATGGCTTTTTCAGGCTTATGACTTAATATTCGGGGGCTTTTTACTTTGTATTCCTCGTGCAATTATTGAAGAGACTAGTGCAACAATAAACAATGTAAAAGAAGAATGTTGGCCGGTTTGATTTGTCGGGTGTTGATGAGATTACTTGTGTGCAAAGATAACATATCAGCGTGAGGGTTGGTGGCACAAGGAAAGTCGCTTAATTATCTGAAAATGGAAATGGTTCATTCTCTGCGGAGTCAAAATGTGCTCAGTAAAGTCTTAGGAGTCAAACAGGTTTTCCCTTTGCATAACTGAACATGTAGGTACTATTTAAAATATCCTTAGTTATCAATTAAATAAACTATCTTACACCAAGTAATAGCAACAAAAAGTATCATTAAATAGCAGAAATGTATATAGTGTAAAACAATTACCAGACATAATTATATAGATAATCATTTGTGATCATTACACACTTGCAATAGTTGTTATAAAGGCAGCCAGGAACGCTGTGTTTCCCAATAGGAACACCACAAACACGATCTTCTTGACATTGGATTTCTGAAAGGGATTCATAAAAAAAAATCAATACATCGAAGATAAATAAGGCTAACAAATAGAAAAGTACGTTTGGTTTCAGATCTCACCTCTTCAGGCTGCTGCCTCCATGACTGAGCAGAACAAATGTTCTCTCTGTCGCTCCCTATAGATGTACAATGTTTAATCAGATATGTTTGAGCAGAGAACACAGAAATACCAAACAGCACTTAGTTCAAATTCATCTCTATCAAGAACATTGCAATGTGGATCACTTGTACTCCACTGCTTGGAGAAATAACACTTTTAAATTAAAGTGGAGGTCGTATCAGGTCCGTCATTAAATTAACAGCAGAGAGTTGACATTTCCAAGCTATTTAGCATTCACATTCACACACATAACTACACACCCACACACACATACACCCACATAACTCCACACACATAACTACACACACACACACACACACCTCAGAAACAAACACACCCACACACACAAATGTATTAACTTTAGTCATAATGCATCAGAACAGAACAATTGATTTCTCAGTCCAGGCAGCAGCACTTACCGCTAATTGAAACAAACAATACCAACTGTTTACCCCCGGCATAAGGAACTCATCTACAGCTAACAGGAGACAGAATTAAAAGTGCACTGGCGGTGAATTTAACAAACACATGTTAGGGGATCTGCGTAGCGTGAGCATCGTCATGTGTTAAAGCCTAGCAACACGTTGGATTTGAATGTCATCGCCACATTCACTGATGTGCTCGAGGTGGTTTTTTTCAGTCTCCAAGCAAATGTGTTTTGTTTCTCGCTGAATTAATACGCATCAATTTAAAAGCAGTCTGGTGAAATGACACATGTACTGTATGAGCTGTTTCTGAAGATTCTTGTTTTCAGTAGCAACCAAGGGGCTCTGAATATTGAGCTCAACTTAGGCAAGGCAAGTTTATTTATATAGCACCTTTCAACACAAGGCAATTCAAAGTGCTTTACAAAAATGAAAGACATTAAGAGAGCATTAATGTCTCTTAATGTCATTAATGCTCTTAATGGAGGTGGAGGTGTCCGCTGAGACTACAGGATGTGGTGAATATGTCTTCTTCTTACACTACACTCAAAACAACAGCCCACCACGTTCAGCTACTTAGAGAAACTTCTTAGAGAGTTCTATAGGTAGTACCTTCTCTCCCGAGAGTGCAGGAATGGATCTGTAGCAGCAGGTGAGCCAGCAGGGTCCACAGCAGCCATGCAGCCAGCACTGCAGGAGAAGAGGGGCTGGGTAACAGCAGCGCCTGCTGAGAGACCCCCAGGAACACACACGCCACTGGGGGGAGAGAGTAGAGATGCACGTTTAGATATTGAAGAAGAAGAATTGGGAGGGTGGTCACACATGCAGAGCACACAGCACACAGTGACATTTGTTCTCTGCACATCTGAAAATAATATGGAATGATGTGGAATAACACCAGCTTTATCTTGTTAATACATTTCATATGAAACTTGGATATAGAAAACCACTTAGAGAAATATTCTTACTGCAGTATTTTTACTGCAAATGTGCTTTAGTTCCACCATCTGGTACCTCTGTGGCCATGAGCATAAGTCTGATTCACTATGCACAAATCATTCTAAAGGGCCAGAGTATAAGACCCTGAGACCTTCTTGAATTAAATCATTGTAAGTGCAACTGTGTTTCTTGATGTAAAGTACAAAGTTCAGCAGGCTTAGCAACTATGGCGCATAGGAGTATTATATTTTTGCCATAATGGTTATGTTACAGATACTGGAAAACAAGTGTTGTCAGAGCAGCTTCTGCCGGTTCTCCAGAAGATATCCTCCCTAATGACTCTACTCACCAGCGAGTGCCTGGCCAGCGGTGCCTGTCAAAAGGTGCATCCAGTTGAAGATAATCCTCCTGCAGATGCAGAGAGACAGGACTGGGTTACGCGGATGATTTTAAACCCCTAATGGTGCTTCTCGCAGGAATAAATAAGGGAACAATCCACTTAATTGAGATGGATGCGAGCAAGTGTTGGAGTTGTTAAAATGTGGTTTCAGGTGTTACCTGGGGGAGTCGGGGGCCGGTCGGAGAGCTCCCATAATGAGCTGGATGAGTGACAGAACCATGACGGTGCAGCCGATGTACGG